GTGTGTGTGTGTGTGTGTGTGTGTTGGGGTTGCTTTGGGCGTCCTAGAGTTTGAGGACACGCAAATTTTTGTGAAAGCCCCTCCCTCTCTAAGCAGCCCTCCCTTTCTTCTAAGCCCCCTGTGTTGGCGTCAGTAGCCAGAAAGTCGCAGCTCTCCCGAGTCAGAAAATTGCGGCAGTGCGACCCCTAGAGGCCTGGCTGGTAATTGCCACGCCGGCTCGAATGGGCTGTGTTGTAGAAGGACTTGGGAAGCCTGAATTCTGGGGCGACGCTGGGGTCAGTCCAGAGAGAATCTCCCCTGCTTAAAAGAGGCTGGTTCTGAAGACCTCATCAGAAACGATGGTGAAGGCCTCTTGTTACGGAAAGTGTGGGTGGCTACTAATTCAGAATCGGTTCCACCTCCGTTCGTGGTCGCAAGGATTGATTGTTAATTAAACAGAAGGGAAAGTAGGATTGTGAATTCTCATTACTGAATAAGCTAAACTTTTTTAGTTTTTCTAGGGACTCTGTTTTTTTGTGACCACAATGAGAAATTTAGACAGTGATGATCGGGTAACTGACAAGCTTACCAAGCCCAAGACATCAAGAGAATGGTTGGAACCACAGCCACTTTCTTTTATGGAGGTAACAGTAATATGGCATTTTGAAGTTTGTATTTGGGTAGTTGCGTTGAGAAGTGGCTTGTGCTTAATATTTTTTCTATTTCATTTCTGCTCTTTATTATTCCATTCGTTCTAACTTTGTGTTTGCTGTTCATTTTCTAGCTTTTTAAGGTGGAATCATAGGCAGTTGATTACGTTTTCTATTTAACAAAGTTATAAAGTTTGTTCTGAAGCACTTTGTTGTGTTCTTAAAAACTATTGTAATTTTTTTCTAAACAGCTTTATTAAGGTATAACTTATACACAATAAACTGCATATATTTTAAGTGTACAGTTTGAAAAATTTTGATCTTTGCACACATGAAACCATTACCACAATCAAGAGAATGAACATATCCAGTATTCCCAAAGTTTCCTTCTTGTGTCCCTTTTGTCATCCTTCCCTCCTTGTCAACCCTCAAGGCAATCACTGATTTCCTTGCTGTCACTACACTTTTGTTTAGCATTTAAAAAATTTTATACAGGGGGCGCCTGGGTGGCTCAGATGGTTAAATGTCTGCCTTTGGCTCAGGTCATGATCCCAGGGTCCTGGGATGGAGTCCCACCTTGGGCTCCTGGCTCAGCAGGGAGCCTGCTTCTCCCTCTCCCTCTCTCCCTGTTCATGCTCTCTCTATCTCTGTGTCTCAAATGAATAAAATCTTTGAAAAAATATAAAAAAATTAAAAATTTATACAAATGTAATCTTACAGCATGTATTCCTTTTGTCTGGCTTTCACTCACCATAATTATTTTACAATTCATGTTGTGGCATGTATCAGTACTTCATTCCTTTTTTTTTTTTTTTTTTTTTTTGCTGAGTGCTGTATACCCTAGTTTGTCCATCCTGCTGATGGAAATTTGGGTTCTTTGCATTTTTTGGCTATTACAAATAAAGCTGTTAGGAACAATCATGTACATGTCTTTACATGGACATACGCTTTCATTTCTCTTGGGTTTCTAGTTGTAGAATGACTGGGTTATATAGTAAGTGAATTTAACTTTTTGATGAAACTGCCAAACTGTTTTCCAAAGGAGTTTGCCTTGTACATAATAGTTCAAGGATCCGCCAGAGATTTGGTCAGTTAATTTGTAAAATTGGTGGCATCTCCTCTACAGCTTTCTCATTTCAGGTATTTCTCCTTTGACTTTTCAGCTCCTATGGTTGCCCTGAACTCTGTCTTCTAAATCTTTTTTTTTTTTTTTAAGTTTGTCTTTTTTAGTAATCTCTACACTGGGGCTCAAACTCACAAACCTGAGATCAAGAGTCGCATGCTCTTCTGACTGATGAGCCAGGTGCCCCTGTCTTCTAATTCTTGAATTCTGTAAAACTTCATGTTTCTGAGTTTGAGCCCTCACCTTTAGCTCTGATGGAGGCCTGCTCTTAGATAAAAGTCCGTAAAAACTGAAAACTTATACCAATGTTATTCTTTTTTTCCAAGGGTTGACTACATTCTTGTTTCTGTTTTTGTTCAGTCTCCAGTGTCTTCAGATTGTTGTTTTTTATATTTTTGTCTAGAATATTATTTCAGTACCATCTTGGTTTTGAGAACAACAGATTTGCCAGGAATAGCAACTCTGTGAGGCAGAAAGAACAAAGAAAATGAATCTGGAGTTAGATATATTTGAGGTGTTTTTTTTTTTTTTTTAGGATTTTATCCATTTTTTTTTTATTTAAGATTTTATTTATTTATTTGATAGAGAGCTAGCAAGAGCAGGAACACAAGCAGGGGGAGTGGGAGAGGGAGAAGCAGGCTTCCTGCTGAGCAGGGAGCCCGATGTGGGATTCGGTCCCAGGACCCTGGGATCATGACCTGAGCCACCCAGGCCCCCCCAGTGACTGTTAATTTGAAAATATTTTGTTTTTGTGTAATTGTAAGATGATTTCAAAGTCCCATCCCAAATGTCTCTCACTTTGGGAAATTTAAAAAATTTAATCATATTTCCAATGTGGTAAAATATATATAGCATCAAAGTTTGCTATTTTTGACCATTTTTAAGTGTACAATTTGTGACATGTTTTACAACCTCTTGTATTTTCTGGTGTATATTTATGGAAGACATGTAAGTGGAAAAAATTGTTATGAACTATTTCCTGAAGATTGTGTCGCTTTAAAATCTGAAAATGTGGGGTGCCTGGGTGGCTCATTTGGTTAAGTGTCTGACTCTTGATTGCTCAGGTTGTGATCACAGGGTTGTGAGATAAGAGTCCTGCTTGGACTTCACGCTCAGCAGGGAGTCTGCTTGGGATTCTTTCTCTCCACCCCGCCCCTCCCTACCTTGCTTATGTGTGCTCTCTTGCAAATAAATAAATCTTTAAAAAAAATCTGAAAATGTGACTTGTATATAAATTATGAATATTTGAAGCTATAATGACTAAATGAATTAAAGTAGAATTCACTAATGACTGAATGAATTCAAATAGAGGCCTGATTGTATTTTAACTCATAAAGGTAAAAACATTTTATGAAATGTGAAAAAAAGGTGGGTTCTATTTACCATGCGACTCTGGGCAAGTCATTTGACCATGCTGGTAGTCAAAATGTCTGTGATCTGAGTTATTTTTTGCCCTTGAATGAGCGATAGCAAATAGCAGAAAGATTCAAATACCCTTTAAGAAGTACTTGATGAGGGCTCCAGTCTGCTTCTCCCTCTGACCCTCCCCCTTCTCGTGCTTTCTCTCTCTCACTCTCTCACACATAAAGAAAAAATCTTTAAAAAAAAAAACCAAAAAAAGTACTTTGGATAGGATCTCAGGACCCTGAGATCATGACCTGAGCCAAAACTGAGTTGGATGCTTAATTGACTGTGCCACCCAGATGCCCCCATAATTTGATTTTTTTTATTTGATTTTCAAAATTTCATTTTGTTGTTTTAGGCATTAGCTAAAGAAGATATTGATGCAGCTATTCAATCAATATTATATAGAGAAAATTACATAATTAAGGTAAGAATTGGCTACAGAATGTGTCACAATTAAAAATTAAATTTTGTTTATCCATGTTAGATGTAGTGCATCATCATTTACAAATTTTAGAAAATACAGGACATAGAATTGAAAATGCTCATTAGCCCCTAGGATTAACCTTAAGCAATCTCTGAGATGGTTTTAATTGTAGGAATTATATGTAGGAGTTTTTCCCAACTTTCATCTAGTAGGGCTTCTGTGGAGTCAGTGTGTATTCCTAAGAGCTTTAAGAGCTGTTACTGGGACACACTGACCAATTATTACTCAGGTATGCCTAGGTAAGTAGAAGGCTTTAACTGTAAGAGGATGGGCTTGATTATAAGACAAGATGAATGTCCATGTAGAACAAACAGAGGAGTGGGTAACTTGTAAAGAAAAATTTTCTTCAGCGTTGTTTAAAAAGGAAAGGGGCTCTTCGTTAAGAATGGTTCAAGAGTGCTATGACCTGAAGCTAGGAAAGGATAGAGCCTGGAGAAGCTCTCAGTGTTTTTCGGTTGTTTGTTTATTTTCATTTTGAATTTCATGTTGTTGATTGTGAAATCACATGATTTCATTTGCTAGATGAAAGGTGGATACGTTTTGAATAAGAAGTTTTAGTTTATAGCCTAAATCGGTCATTTTTTTATGGGCTACTTGCCATTTCATCCAGGTTTTGCTAGCTTCTGCCTCTTCACTCTTGTCTTTTTTCCCCCCTCCATAGAATACACTTCTTTCACATTCTCTCATCTCTTCTCTTCCTAGATAACTCTCTTAAGGCCTATCCCAAATGTCTCCCATTCTAGGAATTAAAAAGAAAAATTTAGTCATTTTTTTCCCATGTGGTAAAATATATATAACATAACTTTGCTATTTTTAACCATTTTTAAGTGTACAGTTCAGTGACATTAATTACATTCACATATTGTACAACCATCATCACTATTTCCAAATAGATGGATGTCATGAAATCATCATCATTATCTATTTCTATTTCTATTTCTTTCTTTTTTTTAAAGATTTTATTTTATTTATTTGAGAGAGAGAGTGAGAGAGAAAGCACAAGATGGGGGAGGGTCAGAGGGAGAAGCAGACTCCCCGCTGAGCAGGGAGCCCGACGTGGGACTCGATCCCGGGACTCCAGGATCATGACCTGAGCCGAAGGCAGCCGCTTAACCAACCGAGCCACCCAGGCGCCCTTCTATTTCTATTTCTAAAACTTTTTCGTCACCCCAGCCAAAACTTTATACACATTAAGTAATGGCTTCCCATCCCCCCTGCCCCAGAGGTCCTTCTAGTAGCCTCTCATTTATTTTCTGTCTCTGAATTTGCTTATTCTAGATAATTTCATATAAGTGGGATCCTACAATATTTGTCCTTTTGCGTCTGGCTTATTTCACTTAGCATATATCTTCAAGATTCATCCATTTTGAAGCATGTGTCAGAACTTCATTCCATTTTATGGCTGTCTAATATTCCATTTTGTGTGTATACCGCATTTTGTTGATGGGCACTTGGGTTTTCACCTTTTTGTTATTGTGAATAATGGTCCTATGAACATTGATGTACAAGTATCTGAGTCTGTGTGTGTGTGTGTATTTTGCTATATTGTTCCTCTTTTGTTCCGTATGTTTGTTTTGTAGTCTTAGGGAGAGTAGGCATGTTGTCTAATTTATCTATGTATTATTCACTATTTCCAGTATAGTGTGTGTCACCCAGTAGAAGCCAGATAAATGATTGAATTCATGAATGACTTTGTGGGTTATTCTTAGGAATATAAATGAATTTAAATTTTAGAACAACAAAGCTTTAAAATAATTGCCTTTTCCATCAATGTTTATTAGGAACTAGATAAGTGTTTACAACATCATGACTTTTTAAAGGCAAGAAGAAAAGAGATGTTACATAAAAGATGGGCTGACCATGTGGCACATCCTCTCCAGAAGGAAATTATAGAAAAAGTTTGTTCATATAAGATTAAAAAAAGGAGACAAGAAGAATTAGATAGTTTTTTAAAACATGTAAATAAAAAGGTACGAAGAGGTCATTTGATACTTGTTTCAGTTGGTTTAAAACTATGATTACCTTTATAATCATCCAAACAGCCTGCCCCTTCTGACTCTATATATGTATAATCTCTACTGTGTTACAGTGTACACTGTTCTTAAATCCAGGGCATGTGGAAAGGATGGAGGGAAGAGGATTAGGTCTGGATTTAAATGTGTACATTAGAATCAGTTTTCTTTGTTTTTTAAATGTAATTACTAATTTTATATACCAATTAAATTTGGGCTGTAGGTTCAGGATATTTATGTGTAGTTATAGGACTCAGTTATTTACAATGCTATAAAATACTTGTTTTGGCATTTCTAAGAGATCTGAGATGTTTGACTAGTAAGCATTTAAAAACAAATTCCCAAGTTTGTTAGTGTTCCAACATTCATTATTCTTGCAAATTTTAAGTAGATTCCTTCTGTCACTATAATAGTTATTACTTGGCTACATTAAGTTCAATTTTGGTTTTCCCTTCCCTTTTGCATTTGTCATTAATGCTGTTTTAAAGCAGAAGAATGGAACTGTGTGACTCTTGAATCCTGTTATGCTCAAAATTAATTGTGTACCTTTTGTTATGTGTAGTTTTATTTCCTTCCTATAGGGAAATGCATTTATAGAACATTATGATCCAAAAGAGTATGATCCTTTTTATATGAGCAGAGAGGACCCAAGTTTTCTGAAGGTAGGATAGATTTCTTATTTTTGGTATTATGTAGTTGGTTATTCTAAGTAGCCCTAATATATAAGTAGTTCTTCAGTGATTCTGTAAGAACGCAGTAACATCTTTTTAAAAATTTTTTTATTGTTATGTTAATCACCATACATTACATCATTAAGAATGCAGTAACATCTTAAGAATAGTTTCCCATCTCCATATCTTAGAAAGGAATAAAAAAGCCAAAGTCCAAAGTAAATTAAACCTCTATAAAATTTGAAAATATTGTGTAATAACTGAGTAATAGGTAATATTTTAAAATTTCATAGACTTAAACATTTGTTACAAATGTAATACATTTTCATGATACGTGAAAAAAAATTTTTTTGAGAGAGTTGGGGGAGGCGCGGGGGGGTAGAGAGAGAGAGAAAGAGAGAATATCTTAATCAGGTTCCACGCCCAGCATGGAGCCGCATGCAGGGCTCAATCTCCTGACCCTGAGATCATGGCCTGAACTGAAGTCGAGTTAGACGCTTAACCTACTGAGCCACCCAGGTGCCCCCCAAATTTTTTTTTTAAGATTTTATTTATGGGCGCCTGGGTGGCTCAGATGGTTGAGCGTCTGCCTTCGGCTCAGGTCATGATCCCAGGGTCCTGGGATCGAGTCCCGCGTCAGGCTCCCTGCTCCTTGGGAGCCTGCTTCTCCCTCTGCTTCTCTCTCTCTCTCTCCTTCTCTGTCTCTCATGAATAAATAAATAAAATCTTTAAAAAAAAAAAGATTTTATTTATTTATTTGAGAGAGAGAGGAGAGACACAGAGCACAAGAGGGAGGAGGGTCAGAGGGAGAAGCAGACTCCCCACCGAGCAGAGAGCCCTATGAGGGACTCAGTCATGGGACTCCAGGATCATGACCTGAGCCGAAGGCAGTCACGCAATCAACTGAGCCATCCAGGTGCCCCCCTAATCCCAAATCTATTTTTAGGTAAAGAATTAAAAAACCACTCACAGAGGCTCCTGGGTGGCTCAGTCGGTTAAGCATCTGCCTTGAGCTTAGGTCATGATCTCAAGGTCCTGGGATGGAGCCCTGTGTGGGGCTCCCTGCTCAGTGGGGAGTCTGCCTCTCCCCTTCCTCTGCCTCCTTCCCCCTGCTCATGTTCTGTCTCTCTCCTGCTCTCAAATAAATAAAATCTTAAAAAAAAAAACCCTCACAGTTTCATTACACAGAGTGAACTTACTAACATTTTTCTGTATATTCTTCTGGATAGTCAAGACTTGCTTTCTATATGTGGTGTATATATACATTTTTATTTTACAAATTGGTGTAACACACATTATGTTTTATAATCTGCATTTTTTCCTCAATAGTTCTATGATTTGCTTCTTTCTTTGTCAATAAATGTAAATACATAATTTTAATCATTGCATAGTGTTCTGTTAATAACAGCTGGGGTGCCTGGGTGGCTCAGTCGGTTAGGCCTCTGACTCTTGATTTCTTTTTCTTTTTCTTTTTTTTGTTTTATTTATTTGACAGAGACAGTGAGTGAAGGAACACAAGCAGGGGGAGTGGGAGAGGGAGAAGCAGACTTCTGACTGAGCAGGGAGCCCGATGCGGGGCTCGATCCCAGGACCGCGGGATCATGACCTGAGCCGAAGGCAGACGCTCAATGACTGGGCCACCCAGGCGCCCCTCTGACTCTTGATTTCTGCTCAGGTCATGATCTCAGGGTCATGAGATCGAGCCCTGAGTTGGGCTACGCGGTCAGTGGGGAGTTTCTCTCCCTCTGTCCGTCTCCCCACTCTCTCCTTTTCTCCCTCTCTCTCTCAAATCTTTTTTGAGAGAGAGAGAATGAGAGAGAGAGCACATGAGAGGGGGGAGGGTCAGAGGGAGAAGCCGACTCCCTGCTGAGCAGGGAGCCTGATGCGGGACTCAATCCTGAGACTCCAGGATCATGACCTGAGCCGAAGGCAGTCGCTTAACCAACTGAACCACCCAGACGCCCCTCTAAAATAATAAATCTTAAAAAAAAAAAAAAAAAATTACTTGCACTGAGGGCTTAACCAAATGTTAGGACTTTTTTTTTTTTTTTCATCTTCACTGCTACCACGTGATATAATTCGCAGATGAGGCAAGTGAGACACAAATTGGTTAAGTTACCTTTCCAGAGGGGTGCTTCTCCCGCTCCCACTCCCTCTGCTTGGGTTCCTCCTCTCGCTTTGTCTCTCTCTGTCAAATAAATAAAATCTTTGTTTAAAAAAAAAAAATAGTTACTTTTCCAGAGCCCCACAGCTGTAAATAGCAGAACATAGATGTGTTTCTAACTATATATGGTATCTTGCTATACTATCATTTTTTTTAACATATTCCCTACTGTGAACATCTAGAT